CGTTCCTCTGGGAGCTTTGTCTCAGAGGGTCACCCAGCCATGTGAGGTGTCAGTCGGCCCCTACTGGGAGGTGCCTCCCAGTTAGGCTACTTGGGGGTCAGGGACCCACTTGAAAAGGCAGTCTGTCAGTTCTCAGATCTCAAACTCTGTGCTGGGAGAACCACTACTCTCTTGAAAGCTGTCAACCAGGGACATTTAAGTCTGCAGAAGTTTCTGATGCCTTTTGTTCAGCTATGCCCTGCCCCCAGAGGTGGAGTCAACAGAGGCAGGCAGGCCTCCTTGAGCTGCAGCGGGCTCCACCCTGTTCGAGCTTCTTGGCCACTTTGTTTACCTACTCAAGCCTCAGCAATGGCGGGCACCCCTCCCGCAGCCTCACTGCTGCCTTGCAGTTTGATCCCAGACTGCTGTGCTAGCAATGAGTGAGGCTCCGTGGGCATGGGACCCTCCGGGCCAGGTGCAGGATATAATATTCTGGTGTGCTGTTTTCTAAGACCTTGGAAAAGCACAGTATTAGGGTGGGAGTGACCCGATTTTCCAGATGCTGTCTGTCACAACTTCCCTTGGCTAGGAAAGGGTATTTCCTGTCCACTTGCACTTCCCGGGTGAGGCGATGCCTTGCCCTGCTTCAGCTCTCACTCAGTGGACTGCACCCACTGTCCTGCCCCCACTGTCTGACAAGCCCCAGTGAAATGAACCTGGTACCTCAGTTGGAAATGCAGAAATCACCTGTCTTCTGCGTCACTCATGCTGGGAGCTATAGACTGGAGCTGTTCGTATTCAGCCATCTTGGAACCTCTTAGATATGCTTTCATAGAGCAGATGTGCTGTGCTGGGATACTGCTTCCACCACTGGTCAACTTGGATTCTCCAAAGCCTGATGGCTGGAATGTCTATGTCACCCAAACAGCAAAGATGGCGGCCTGTCTCTCTCTCTGGGAGTGGTCCCAGGAAGTTCTCAAATCTGTCAGCCTGAGAACATGGGCAGGGGTGACTGGAGGCCCCAATGTGGAGGTCCTGCTCAGTGAGGAGGAACAGATCGGGGGCCCACTTTAAAGAAACAGCCTGGCCTCATTTTGGTAGAACAACTGTGCTGTGCTGGGGGATCCATTTTGTTTCTGGTCGGTTTGGACTCTCCAAAACTCACAGGTTGGAACTGCTGAGTTATCCAAACAGCAAAGATGGTGGCCCTTCCCTCCTCCAAAGAACTCTGTCCCAGGTGGGGCGACACTGTTGTCAGTGGTTGACTGGAATTCTAAGCCAGTGGATCTTGTCCTGTGAGGCCCTGTGGAAGTGGAGCCCGCGGACCATCACTCCTCAGCCTTCTCAATTCAGCCTTCTTCCTAGGGGTATGTACAGAGGTCCAACCTCCTTCCCTCACAGAGCTGCAGTCACTCTTGCCAAGAAGCCTGGAGCCTAAGTATGTAAAGCTCCTGCGCATCTGCACATGCCTGAATGGCTGCTCTGCCAAGAGTCCACACTGCTCCGTGTGTCAGACTGAAGACCCTGGTGGAGTGGGTTTAGGAGGAGATCTCCTGACTCAGGGTTGCAAAGATCCATGGGAGAAGCATGGTTTCCCAGGGTCACATGTTACAATACTCACCACTTCCCCAGGTGGGGGAGGTTCCCCTGGCTCCATGTCACTCCAGCATGGGCCATTGTGCTATCTTGCTTTTCTTCATTTTCCAGGGGTCGAGTTGTTTCCTTGATTAAGCCCAATGAGAGTACCTGGATGTTTCAGTAGAAGGTGCTATATTTACTTGCCCCTTTGGTTGCTCTCCATGACAGCCACGTACCCTAGCTGCTTCTAGTTGGCCATCTTGGCCTGAATCTAAGTAACTTTAATTTGGGCCATAAAGAGGCAATTGAAAAATTCCCAAAGTCACTTATTTCCTTGACTACACAGAGTAATTGTGGTATTGCTAAGCTGGATTTTCTAATAAAGATCAAAATCCTGATAGAACAAATATTTTTCAGAAGAAATATTCATTCAATAATTTTTAAAGTACCAACTCTTTTAAAGCATTTAAAAGAGTAAATACCCCCAAAGAGTAGGTACTTACAATGACAGAAAAATAAATCTCCCATGGGTACCTCCTGCCTTTGACAACCTTACAGACTCACAAGGGAGATAAAATCTGTTCAAGTTGCCCAGGTGCTGTGGCTCATGCCTGTAATCCCAGGACTTTGGGAGGCCAAGGCGAGCAGATCACGAGGTCAAGAGATTGAGACCATTCTGGCCAACATGGTGAAACCCCATCTCTACTAAAAATACAAAAATTAACTGGGCATGGTGGCACATGCTTGTAGTCCCAGCCACTTGGGAAGCTGAGACAGGAGAATCACTTGAACCAGGGAGTCAGAGGTTGCAGTGAGCTGAGATTGCACCACTGCACTCCAGCCTGGCAACAGAGCAAGACTCCATCTCAAAAAAAAAAAAAAAAAAAAAAAAAAAGCATAAAAGAAATCTGTACAAGTTTTGGCTAGAAATAGGCCAAATAGGAGTAGAAACTAATAGAAACAGAATGCAGGCTGGGTGCAATGGCTCACGCCTATAATTCCAGCACTTTGGGAGGCCAAGGTGGGCAGATCACTGAAGGTCAGGAGTTCAAGACCAGTGTGGCCAAGATGGTGAAACACCATCTCTACGAAAAATACAAAAATTAGCTGGGCATGGTGGCGAGCACTTGTAATCTCAGCTACTTGGGAGACTGAGGCCGGAGAATCACTTGAATCTGGGAGACAGAAGTTGCAGTGACGTGAGATCACACCACTGCACTACAGCCTGGGTAGCAGAGCGAGACTGTTGAAAGAAAGAAAGAAAGAGAGAAAGAAAGAGAGAGAGAGAGAGAGGAAGGAAGGAAGGAAGGAAGGAAGGAAGGAAGGAAGGAAGGAAGGAAGGAAGGAAGGAAGGAAGGAAGGAAGGAAGGAAGGAAGGAAGGAAGGAAGGAAGGAAGGAAGGGAGGGAAAGAAGGAAAAGAAAGAAAAGAAAGAAAGAGAATGCAGAAAGAATAACAAGGATAGAAGTTCAGAAATGGTAGTAGAGAATGGAGAACATTGGAGATACATGTGAGGGATAAGTGCAAGAGACAATAGAGCAGGGGGAAATGACTGATCCCAAGCCTGCAGGTGAATGTTGCTGTTTCCACCCCCACAAACCATTCAGTGCTGGGCTTTTTATGAAGACAGGTCCTGGTGCTATTACAGATGATCCTTGGTTTACGATGAGGTTATGTCCCAATAAGCCTATCATATGTTGAAAATATCATCATGTAGAAAATGCATTTAATACACCTAGACTACTCAACATCATAGCTTAGCCTAGCCTACTTTAAATGTGTTCAGAACACTTACATTAACCTATAGTTGGGCAAAATCATCTAACACAAAGCTTATTTTATAATAAAGTTTTGAATAACTTATGTAATTCATTGAATAAGTACTGAAATGAAAAACAGAATGGTTTCACACCATGATAATGTTGAAAATCCTAAGTCAAACTGTTGTAAGTCACTGACAGTCTGTGCCTAGATGAATAAGGCCAGCTGTTAGAGATAGTCACGAGAGAGTGGCTGGTAGATGGATAAAGCTAAGACTTTAGAGCCAGTTCAACCAGGGTTTATTTCCCAGTCGCTAATTATATGGCATTAGGAAAGTTTCTTAATCTCTCTGGGCCTCAGTTTCCAAATCTCTAAACTGGGATCAATAGTTCTTATTTTTCTAACATGTAGTTAGGGTCACACCTAGCCTGGCCTCCTCTTTCTGGTTTAATGTTCTTTGCATGTTGTTCACAAACTTTGAAAGACTGCTTAGTTGAGCATGGATGGTTTTTAGAGCCAGAGACAGTGTCAGATCTGAATTCAAATACAACCATTACTATTTAATGTATAAACTTGGGGAAGTCATTTTGTTTCTATTTCTTCAATTTTGTAGTGAAGAGTGAATCAACTAAAATGATAAAACAACGGCCTTCAAGATCATATTCCCTATAGTATATTTTCTCACAATCTCCTATATAACATTGTAGGCTAAGCAGATATTATTGATCTTTTGTTTTTTTGAGTCTTATTTTTAAAAGGTTTATTGAATAATAATACTTATATTAATAACTTAGATTTATGTGCCAGGCTTCAGGGTAAGCATTTATATACATTATCTCATATAATTTTCACAACAACCCTGAAGTGTAGATACTTTTATAATTTCCATTTTATAGATGGGAAGCCTGATGCTTACAAAATTAAATAAGTTGCTTCAGGTGACATTGACAGTAAGTGATGAAGCTGGGATTTAAATCCAGAAAATCTGACTTTAGAATCGTTCTCATAAGCACTATACTATACTGTCTTCCATGTGATTCTGATAACTTCCCTAGAGGCAGCTGCCCCACTCCCTTCCCATTGCTGCAAAGCATCCAGCACAGTACCCAGTTCCCAACAACCACTTAACAAATGTGGGCTCTATCTCTGCAGCCCATCTCCCAAGTGTTAGAGCTAAGGCCTGATGATATTTTTCAACCATTGAGTAGCTGTTTGCTGGAGCAAATCAGAAAAGAAATCTCTATAAATGAAAACTTTTCTAAGGAATTGAACAATAACTAATTCAAATTTCCAGAATAATATAATTTTGATATTGCCTTGAAGTTTGCTGTATTTTGGTTTGGCTTGCATGCCATAAATATACCTAGTTGAATTTAGATAATTAGGAGGTATGATTTTAAAGATATGAAATTGTCCCCTCTTTATCTTCTCTACACTATTATATTCTCATCGTGACACATATCACCACCAAACATATGTTTGTGTGTTTATTTTCTGTAACCCCTTCAGTAGTACATGTGCTACAGTAGAGAAGGGACTTGATCTGTTTTATTCTCTGCTGTATCTCTGGTACCTAAAATAATATAGAGTAGGTACTCAAAAAAATTTGTTTTATGGATGAATGATTAAAATGTTTGGACAAATTATGGGAAACTGACATTTAAATACTATTTTTCTTTCTAGCTTGGATTAGAAGAACAAGAAAGACTCCACCTACTATGGAGGTAAGACTACACAAGGAAGATATAATTTAGGAGTATATATTCCCAAGGATACATGAAACTTCAGAAAAACTATGATGTATTTTCCCAAAGTGTTGATTTTATTCCATAGAAAATAACTTAAAACATTTTATAATAAATTAATATATAAACCTATATTATTAATAAAATAATATATGATAAAATAAATGCTCATATTATGGAATATAACAAAATTTGTATAAATTTTAAAGTGGAAAAATAAAAATTTAAAACACTTTTTAGAAAGTCTGGACTTGGAGCAGCTTGCACCAGGTCATTTCCCCTGGGTCCTGGGAGTTCTCTGTGCCAATACTCAAACTTTTGTGGAAAAGTTTGAGAAACACTGAATCTCTTTGACCTATCCAAATCATGCTCTTATGTTTTCCTTAATATTATATATTTAAATCCATCAAGTATCCAAAGAAACACAGAATTAGCAAGTATTTTATAACAGTAATTATTAGTTGAATTTTTATTTAAAACTTAAAAATGGGTAGTCAGTGGTAAACAATAAAAAAACATAGAAATGCTATGGTATATGTGTTTTACAACATAATTTTTATATAGATTATTTTATAAAAATTATTTTATAATTTTAATTTTAAAAATACATAAAGATCTCTAAAGTTATTTTATAAGAAGTAATTTCATAAAAGGAGAGTCTCTAAATGCATTAGTATACTGCCTTGTTTACTATTTTTCTAGAGGCATTCCCTTTCTTCTACTATTTAGGACTTCCCTCCTCTTTTCTGTTGCCTATTCCCTCACTACTACAAACCCTGATGACAACATAAATGGGCTCCAATACTCAGTCCCCATTTGTTGGGAGGTGGAGTGCTCTAGAGCAGAATCATGATGATACCTCAACTGGCATGCTTATCTTTACTTGCTCCATACATTTGTCATATACTGAACCCATCAATGTTCATTCGGCCAGCGTCTGACTGAGTACATCTCTTGACCCGTTTCTAGCTTTGTATATTGCTTCTGCCTTGGCCTGCTTTTCTCAGATCCTTCTTTCCAACACTGATAAAATTTGGAATAAAAGCTGTTTTGGGGGAAAAAAATAAAAGGCAATGTGATCCAGGATTCAGAAGTATGCCCAATAGTTTACAGTGAAGGATGGATTGAAGAGCTTTCTGTTTCTCCTTCTCTTGGTCATAATAAGAGCTACTGTTATCACTTGCTTCCTCCATCCTCAGAACTTTGAAAGCCTTCTTCATAGAAATATTAATGTGCAAAGTGATTAATGGAGGCAATTGCAATAGTTGGGCCTCAGGCACGACGTCTGTAAATTTTAGGTAATTTCAGCACCTCAAACAATCTCTAGCCAGAACACACCAAGTCCTTCCATCCCTGAGCTCACTCTTGTTAATTTTGATTATCCAAAATGAGCCCTCTTTTGTTGCCTCCCTTTTAGTGTACTGTTAATCACATTGTTCTTTATGCTGCTTTGTACCCTCCCTAATACACACACACACACACACACACACACACACTCTCTCTCTCTCTCTCTCTCTCTCTCTCTTCCTTCCTCTTGGCCCTTTCCATTGTGTTTCAGGAATTTCTGTTTCTTTGTTAGCAAATTACCATTCATGATTAATATTTTCCTGGGAACTTTCTCTACCACATAACCTCAACTGAAATCTGTCTGTGCCTGCAAGATAGTGAGTTCCTTTTTTTCCTTGAAGTAAGTTGTGCTCACTTTCCCATGCCCCACAGAAAGAGAGTTCAACTGCTTCTTGCTTCCCCAAATAGTCTTTGTTTGTGGGCCCAAGAGAGTGGAGAACCTTTGTAAGCCATGTATATTTCTCTGTACCTGACTATCATTTTGTTTGCCAACATCCAAGACAGTCTACCATACTGATGGCTGAGATTAGAATCTGCCATATGGTCTTCTCCTTTCAATGCCTTCCCAAATTTTAGCTGCCCAGTTCTTTGACTTTATCCACACTAGTATCCCTGCCTCAAGTGAACAACCACTTCATTAGGCACACTTTAGTTTTTATCAAACACAGTTCTTACAACTGTAACTTTTACACTCTTCAAGTCCAAATTCTAGATACATCATATTAAGAGGAAAAAAATTTTCTTAATGTAAAGCAAAACATATATTTACAAACCATAACAAAAAAATAGCTTATATAGTTATTAAGCTGTGAAATTATAAGGCAAATTCCACCCAGGTCAAGAAGTAGAACTTTGCCATCTACTTCAGCCCCATTTATCCCATCCTAATCACAACTTCTCTCTCCTGACAAAAGCAAACCTTAACCCAACTTTTATAGTAATCATTTCCTCTCATTTTAAATAGTTTTTTCATTGAAATATACATTATAGTTTAGACTTGTCCATTTTGTAAAAACTTCATATTTGTTTTAAATCTTTCAGTCTATCCTCTTCCATCCCTTTTACTTCCTTACAAATTTATGTGTTAAAAAACCCAACCTAGTTGGCCTGTAGAGTTTGCCACTGTTTAGATTTTGCTGATCTTATGTTCCTGGTGCACTTCATCATGTTCCCCTGTCCACTATCTTCCTTCCAAATTGACAGCTGGATCCAGAAACTAAATTTTTTTTTTTCAGATCTTTTAGTGAATACCCAACTCCAAATAAACTTCCTTCCATATCTCATATATATTATGGCTAAAGATTAGCCAGCAGCCATTAGAATGCCATTTACAACAGTATTAGAAAACATAGAATACTATGGAATTTAGTATTCTATGTATTAGAATACTATTAAAACATGTGCAAGATCTGTGTACTCAAAACTACAAAATGTTAGTAAGATAAATTAAATAAGACCAAAATAAATGGGGAGAAGTATCTGTTCATGGATTGGAATGTACAATATTGCTAATGTATTCATTCTTCCCAAACTGATCCACAGTAGTTCTTATGCTTTTATTTTGCATCTGCATCACCTGAAAGACTTGTTAAAACACAGATTGCTGGACCCCAAGCTTTAGAGTTTTTGATCCACTGGTTTTGGGGTAGGTGTGAATATTTGCATTTATAACATGTTCCTGGATAATGCTGATGCTGATGGTTCATAGCCCACATTTTGTGAACCACTGATTTATAGATTTAATAAAATAAATATCCAGTTAAAACCACATCAGACTTTCTGGTAGAAATCAACATGCTGATTTGAAAATGTATTTGGAAATGTAAAAGACCTAGAATAGCTGAAAGCAGCCATGAAAAAGGAGATGAAAATTAAAGAACTAATACTGTCTGACTTTAAGAATTACTTTAAAACTATAGTTATCAAGACAGTATGATACTGGCATTAGGATACTGGATAAATAAATCAATGGAAAAGAACAAAAGTCCAAAAAGTTGATGCTGTTCAACCATTTGGTTTTTAACAATGACATCAAAACAATACAATTAGGAATGGAAAGTCTTTTTAGCAAATGATTCTGGAATAACTTAATATCCATAGAGGGAAAAAAATGATCCCTACCTCACATCATACACAAATATTAATTTAAGGTGGATCATAGACTAGATGTAAAAGCCAAACTATTGTGCTTCTAGAAGAAAAAAACAATGGAATATCTTTGCAGTTTTGAGGTAGACAGGAGACAGAACAATCTGTAAAGGAAAAATAGAGACTAATCAGATTTAATCAGAATTAAATTGTAATACTAGTTATAAGAGAACATTAGGAAATCAAAAGACTAAGAGAAAATAATCATAGTACATATATCTCACAAAGGAATTGTTTCCAGGCTACATAAAGAACACCTCAACTCAGTGTTATAAAAAAGAAGCTAATAAATATTGGGCAGAAATCTTGAACAGGCACTCTGTAAGATACATTTTAGGTATATGAAAATATACTTAACAACACTAGTAATCAGTGGAACCACAATGACATACCATTACACACCCATTAAAATGGCTTAAATTTAAAAGATTGGCAACACCATCACTGGAGCACCCACAACTTTTGTACAGTGCTGGTTGGGGTGAAAATGATACAATCACGTTTGAAAACTGACAGTTTGTTATAAAATCAAACATATACCTACCCTATGATCAAACAGTAATTCTCCTGGCCACATTGAAAACTGAAGGGATCATTTTTTAGTCACACTTTCTGGGAGCTCTGGCCAACAGTAGGTCTAACTCCTTGGCATACTATGCAAGGCTTCCTGATTTGGGTCCATCTCAACTTTCTGGCTTTGCCTCCTTAGGCTTGTTCTATCTACCCTACTCTTCAAGGAACTCCCTGCTCTTTCGTAAATTTAATGTCTTCTCCTTCTCCCATCAACTGGCATACTCTTGCTTACGTTTAATTCCTTTTAAAATGCCCTTTTAAGTCCTCGATTGTTTTCCTCACCTTTTTTTCTCCTCAACTTCTTAACTGATAGAGCTAATCACTACTTTCTTGGTATAACTACACTGCTGTGTACTCCTGTACAACCCTTTAAATTCAGTATTAAAATTGTGTGTTTTATTTGTCCATATTTCTAACTATTAGCTGTTTGGCACAGGGATTATAACTTACTCATTTGTGTGTCATAAGCACCTAACACAGAGCCTGATTCATTATTGGTTTCATTGGCCATTATAGACTTAAAAATCACAATACTATGTAATTACATGGTTTCTGTAAGATGGGTTTGAATTTCTATCAGCCCACTAGAAAATAATGTTGTGAAAGTAACCATATTTCCAAGTTGATCGTTGTCTATATTTTGTTCATAGGAATTCACATTTAACTGCAGGTTACCAATGCAGGCAGTCCCTTACTTAGGATAGTTCAGCTTAGGATTTTTTAACTTCACGATGGTGAAAAAGCAATATGCATTCAGTAGAAACTATACTTCTGAATACCCATACAGCCATTCTGTTGTTTACTTTCAATATAGTATTCAATAAATTACATGAGATATTTAACACTTTATTATTAAATAGGCTTTGTGTTAGATAATTTTGCCCAACTGTAAGCAATGTAAGTGTTCTGAG